ATTTCTTTCTCCCTTACTTCCTACATCTAGTCAATTGAGTTCTGCTGTTTTACTTCCTAAATAAGTAGTTTTTGTGTTTTGTTTTGTTTTGTTTTGTTTTGTTTTGTTTTTTTGAGACAGAGTTTTGCCCTGTCTCCCAGGCTGGAGTGCAGTGGCACGATCTCAGCTCACTGTAAGCTCCGCCTCCCAGGTTCATGCCATTCTCCTGCCTCAGCCTCCCGAGTAGCTGGGACTACAGGCGCCCACCACCACGCCCGGCTATTTTTTTTTGTATTTTTAGTAGAAAAGACGGGGTTTCACCGCGTTAGCCAGGATGGTCTCGATCTCCTGACCTCATGATCTGCCTGCCTCAGCCTCCCAAAGTGCTGGGATTACAGGCATGAGCCACTGCGCCCGGCCCCGGCCCTAAATAATTCTTAAATCCATCCTCTCCTCTGTATCCCTATTGCCACTGCCCCAATTCAGGCTTGCAATACCTCTTGCATAGACTGTGGCAACAGTGTGCAAACTGGCACCCTTCGCAATCTTGCTAGTACAGTGTCTCAGTTTAAAATCTGTAGTACTCCCCTGCTGAAAACTCCTCTGATTCCCAGTGGCCTGTAGAGTCATGTCCCACTTCTCAACCTAGTGCCCTGGATTCTCTGGGGCCTGACTCCTGGTTCCCTCTCCAGCCTCAGACCTTGCCACACCCTGCCTTACATTCTATAACAGCTGCCTCTGCCATACTATGTAAGGTCTTTGTTCAATGCTCTTCTTTCTGCCAAGCAGCTTCCTGCCTTGCTCCATCTGGCAGACTCTTACTATTCCGTAGCATGCAGCTTAGGTAGGCATCACCCCCTGCCTAGCTCAGGTGGAGTGAATGCTCCTGCTGAGTGCTCCCATGCACTTTGTGGTTTCCCCTTCCATACATTTACCATAGCATGCTGACAGATTTGTTTGTGTCTGCCTTCCCAGAGAGGCCAAAAGACCTTTAAGGGACCCCCCTTTTTTTTTTGAGAGGGAGTCTCTGTTGCCTAGGCTGGAGTGCAGTGACGCAATCTCAGCTCACTGCAA